AGCATTGAGCTCTTGTTCTATAGTGGAAGATACATCCAAGGGATTGTATGCATTGGAGTTTTGTCAACCTGATTTAAGTGGTTAATTGGTGTCTGCAGAGTGGAAGTGTCATCTGAATCACTTAGGGTGAGCATTTTAGTGTTTTTTGGAGTAAGGATAAGTGTTGTTTGTGGCATAAAAGGGTAATGGCCCTTATTAAAATAAAGCATGATTATTTTCTCTTTAATGTTTGTTTGTGATGTTTCTCCTTAAGTTGTGGTTTAGTTGTGTGATGTCCTTACATAATGGAACATTTGTTTCTGCGTGGATTAAAGGGCATCCTTGTATCTTGAAGAATTGGGAGAAGCATATTTATTCTGAAAAATCTATGTATCTGTGTGGTATGATGCCATGTTTATTGAAGTTTTCTCCATATACCTATTAAAGGGAATCTCCTCTATAGGTGCAGAAGGTTGGCGTCCAACATCTCAAAGTCAGACAGGAGGTTTGAACATTAGAAGAAGATCATTGAGATGTATAATATACAGGTTCCTGCATGTGGTTATGATCCGAGTTTGAAGGTTGATCACCTACTGATGGTTGATCCTCTTGTATCCCTTGCAAGAGTGGTGTATGGATTACTATGGGTATTATCTCAAAATCCATAGTAAATGATCAATTCCATGTGTTTTAGACTGATGTTAGGACTGATGTTGGAACATCCTTTTTGTTCTTTTCTTCTTCAACCAAAGAAGTTTTTGGGTTTGTTCATGGTGGGGTGTAAGGTCAAGCCATTGGCCTAATTTGGAAACAATCAATGGTGTGAATGGGTGTCATAACTATTTGTCATGAAGATAAATCAGCTGGTTCTAGAGGTGTGCAAAAGATTGATGTTAGACCAATTGTCCTAACTAGTGTGAGAAGGTAGTATCATTTGACTAGTGCAAATACTCATACAAGAGTTGAGTATTTGTCCGTCCTTTGTTGAGGTTATGCATGTGACTGTTGATGAATACTTTGACAGGACTTGAGTATTTGTCTGATGTGTTAGTGCAAGTCTGCAGTCAGAACCTTATGATTCAGAAGGAGTATAGAGAATTTATTTTTCTCTATGTGGCTGTGTTGAGTAGCTTGGGATAGGAAGCTGCTAACTACTGAGAGTTTATTTCTCTTTGTGGTGCTCTGGTGTGTGACAACTTGAATTGGCTGCTGAAGGTGTGTCATTGGATATCCTATAGTGTCAAAGACTTCTATGCAAATAATAAGACCTATGGATGATGCTTTTAAGAACCAGAGCGTTTGGGGTCTATGATGGGAAGCTGGAGTCCCAAATGATGTTGTAACATCATGTTTGTTGGTGGATGTCTTTGGAAGAAGCTTGGGATTGTGCATGTGGAGTTGGATGCTCAAGCATGATCGTCAGAAGAGGCATTTCTAACTATGTGGATTAGAATATGGATATTTTGATCTTTTTTTTAGTAGTATGTTCTGGAAATGCATAACTATGTGGATCAGTAACTAGTAGTGGATGTAAGGGAAGAGGATTTGTGTTAGATGATGTGATCTGATTAGAGGGGTTTTGAAGAAACCCAGTATGCATGATATCTTGCCTAATCTGAAGGTCATGATATTGTGTGGATTTGAGGGGACATTTTTTTTCTTTCATGTCCTTGTTAAGATGGAGAAGTCAGAGGGCTTTGATGTGCTCTCAAGAAGCTAGAGGATCTGGTGTGTTTTCACATGGGTGTGAATATGTTCAGCTAATATGTGATGATGTGGTCCTTTGTTATGAGCATGTGATAATCTTCATGTATTTTCATCTGGTGATGAAGTGGTTATGTTCATCAGGAGCCATGGTTATCCATGACATGAGGAGTAAAGCACCTGTCTGTGGTTTGTTGTTGTAGTGGTGTAGTTACTGTGAAGCTTGCATGTGTCTCAAGCATGTGGATATTATGTACCTCATTATGTTTTGATTCCAGACAACATATCATAACATGTGGCTACTGAATATGGTTATCTATGCCCTTAACAGGGTCTGTGTGACTGTAGCTGATTGGTATTGTCCTACATCTAAGAGACATTGTTTGTGTCTGGGAGAATTTATTTCTCTGTAGAATTTGAAGGAGCCCGGTGGATGGTATGTTAAATGAAGAGAGATATCACACATGTGATGTTTTTATATCTTGGTTTGTGTCACTCTTGTTGGATGAAATAAGTGCTCTTAGAGTCTAGAGGAAGGCGTGGTAATTATGCTTCCGTGCATATGGGTAAGTTTGGGTATTATCTTAGACTGGGTTGATGAAGAAACTTGTTTGTGTGGTGTGACAATGTCTCACAAGATGTCAGGACAAGACTTTTTTCCTTGGGATCAACAAGGAAATATTTTGGACAGTGGAATCTATACACGTCAGGAGGGTGTGTAAAATCTGATTGTTGACTGTGTATGGGAAACTGTCATTTACAAAAGAACCGGTCCAGAAACTGTCAATTTTTTTTGGATTGTGCACATTTATGCTTGATGTAGTTTTTCTTCCTAGAATAAGTTTCTTGACCAAGACCATCGTTACAATCTAGGTTCGTTATTTTTTAAGTATATGATCGGGCATTTATAGAAGTCATTTTCTTCTCTTCCTTCACCTTATGTTTGTTTGTTGTTTAACATAGTGCTCATATCCTTTGTCCGGGTATGGGTGAGTTTTGTTTGGGTCTAGCTTTGTAAAGGGTTTGTTTGTCACTTTTTGGGAAAAAATGGGGAAGAAAGGTTTTGTTCAGATGTTGAGTCTGATGTATGTTTTTGGGGAAGTTTTGCAAAGATATCAAATCAGAAGTTCTGTGGTTCTGTGAATATGTGAGAGTTTATTTCTCTCCATTGCTTTCAGGTGTTTAGAAAAACCTGAGTAAGCTGCACCGACAGTGTGTTCTAATGGGAGCTTCTTAAAAGGATTTTTATGCACAGGGAGTCCTTTAAATAATAGATCAAGAACCAGTTTGATTGGATTCTGTATTATGGAGCTGATATCCCACATGGCGTCTTAACTTCATGATTGTTGATGGTTGTTTTGTTTAACTGCTTGGGATTGTGCATGTGATGTTGGATGCTCAAGCATTATTGTCAGAAGTAACATTTCTGACTAGGTAGATTATAATGTGGAGAAGCTAATCCTATCTATTGTAGTATGCTTGGGGAATGCATGACTACTTTGTTGAAGACTCCTCTAGTATCAACAATTACTAGTGGATATAAAGGCAGAAGACTGCTGACAGATACTAAGGTCTGAGCAGAGTATTTTGAGGAGGTGTTTTTTTTTCTTTTGCTGCAATTCACTCCATAAAAGGTTTGGATATTAGTAAAGCTTTTAAGCAAACTAAGATTTTTGGAGTTTGTGAGTGACTTCACACCTAATATGCATGACACTCTTCCTTTTCAAAAGGTCATGATACAAAGTGTGATTATGAAAGGACAATATCTAGATGTGTCCTTGAAGAAGTCAGAGTTCCTGGAAGTATTCTCAAGGAGTGAGAATATCTGACTCTGGTTTGACTCTACTGAGGGAGTCGAGGTTCAGCATATGCGGGAAATTCTGAAGTATTTCATCTAGTACTCAAGCTTTCATCTTCAACTAGAGTATTGGTTATTCATGACAGAGGGAGTCATGTATTTTTCTGTGGATTGTTGTTGCAACAATATAGATTTTCTTAGAGTGTTGTTCTAGCTTGTGGAGATCTTATGCCTCTTATGAGGATGTTGTTGCAAATGGTTTTAAACACAGAATCGTCACTCTTAATTTTTATCCTAAGGAAGATAATATAAAGGAATAACCCTAAAAAGTTTAGAGATTCTAGATTGTTGACTCGGTTCTAGACGAAGGGAATATGTTATGCACCCCTCTTCTACCTTGTTCTGAATGATACTAGGTTTAGAAGCATAATTTTTAGGAAATAGGGTTTTAATTATTTATTAGGGGAAAAGGGTTTTAATTTTAATTAGGGGGACTCGCCATAATTTTAATCGTATGCCTATGTATCCTCTTAGGAGGAATCAGAGTCTCATTTCGTAGTTCAAGGTGTTTGGTTGGTGTTTTTTTTATAGGATTGTGTAGAATTGCTTTCGAATTTGTCCTTGAACCTTGTCTGGGTTTGAAGGTTGAGTGATTGTAGACGCAATTCGCAGTTAATTTCGATAACAATTCTCCTTAATTCTTTTCTGAAAATAATTTTGGATTTTGATTATGTTAGTTGAAAAATATTTTGATGTTGGTTAGTTGTATTAAGACGTAGAACGGAGAGTCTGATATAGTCTCATCATCACGTGGCCAGATATTGGCTACGTGTCATTCGCGGATGGACTATTTGATGAATTACGTAGATTTAAATTGTTTGATTTGAATAATAAATTGGTAGATGATCTGTCGAACAATTTAATTAATCAAAGATGGATATCCTATTATTTATAGAATGTTTGAATTAATTTAATTTGAGAAAATATTTGAATATATATAAGTATAGTAATTATTTTTGTTATTTTTATATATTTTTAGTCATAAACAAAATTAGACAACTTAATTGATCTAACTAACTAAATTAACTAAAAATAAAATAATTAATTAATTACATTAGATAAATAAAAGGAAAGAATTTAAATAAATGGGCTTCAGGTGTAAAAAGAGAATTAGAGAGTTAGAACTAGTGAAGGTAAGGCCCAAAGTCTACTTAATTTGATCTAATTAAACCCTAGTTAAATATACCAAACAATAAATGAAAAATAACCAAAAAAATTTAAAGCACAAACAGTAAAGCAACATGTGAGGGTTGTGCCTCCTCCAGTTGCTTCTCCATCTTTCTTTCTATCAATTTTAGCCAATAACTTAGTGACACATGGCATATTATTATAGGAAAAAAAGAGTGACAAAATACTTGAAGATTAAAGGAGGAAAAACAAACAGATTTACTCTGCTCTTTCTTCTCCAACCGTGCTCCTTCCTCAACCTTTCTTTTGCCCATTTTTTTATTGCTCAACTTTAACACCTCCAAACATCTTCAAATCTAAACACATGAACAACAAATAACATGTTCAAAATCTGAAAAAAAAGAAAAGAAAAAACTCTACCAACTGAAACGAGGACAGAGGGAGAAACTGATGGAGACTGACGACGGTGGAATTGGCATGATGGCCGGATATGGGAATGATGGGGACGCGATCGGCTGTAGCTGGTAAGGCGATGTCGCGTCTATAGTTTTGTGCGTGGTGGTGGATAGTGGCTGAGTCGGTGTTGATCTGAAGTTACAGCGGAAGGAGGAATGGTTGGTGATGACGCGGCGGTGCTGGTCCGTGCGTGGAAGTACTTGGCCGGCGGCTTCGTTGTCGTGTGGTGCGAGTTCGGTGCCGGAAGGAGAGTGTTTCGGGGTTGTTTGCAACGTTGTTGGCAAACCTTGATTTCTTTTTGAATTCACTGATCTTGCTTGTTGCCTACAGATTATTAGAATAACAAAAAGAGAAAAAAATTGTAGCATGTTTGATTGTTATTGTTGGAAAAAAAACAAAGGTTTGTGTATCACTACAATTTGTTATTGTTTTGCAAAGAATATGATTTTTATAATAGAGATGATGATGTTCCATTTTTTTTTAAATCATTTATTTGAAAAGCTAAACAAAGCGATGATGAGTGTTATGCAGGTGGGTGGTCTGTATCTCGAAAAATCAGTGAGTTTGTGACTTGTGGGTCTGTGAGAAAAAAAGAAGGTTTGTACGTGTGAGAAAGGGTGAGTAGGATAGAAAATTGACCTCTATATAAAATATAATTTAAAAAAAATAACATCAAAGAGTATTTATTATATGGTTGGAAAAAAAGATAAATTAAAATTAAGAAGAAGATAAAATTGAAAATTAAAGGAGGGGCTCCTCGAACTTGATAATAAAACATCATTAATAGTATTGAAAAGGAAAAATTACAAATAATAGTATATGTGAGTGAAGTTCTGAGAAATTGTAGATCTTGGGGATGAATTGTGAATATTGTGAATTCTAGGTGAATTGCGTATGAAAAATTAGGACAACAATGAGTCCTATTTATAGAGTTAAATCAAGTTAAAATTTTTTGGAGAGAAAGATAGCGCAAAATGAATAAAAGACCCAAAGCCTGATCTCCAAAAAGGAAAGAAAATTAGTAACAAAAAGAAATAAAAAAAAAGTCAAAAAGTGTATCATAAGAGATTCGAACCTGCGACCTCATATTTGCAAGCTTTATTCCTTACCAACTGTGCTATGTTACTTATTCAAAATAAAAAGGCCAATTAAAAGTACATGAAGACGAACAAATATTTATTTATTTAAAAATACAAATGATCTGAAATAAATCATTATATTTTAAATAGGTTTGAAATCGAATATTTATAAAGATAAAAAAATATTGTAAAACCAGTGTTGAAAATATTTTTTACCGTAGAAATAAAGGACATGCAAATTTGGGGTATTATAGATGTGATGTCAGAGAAAATGTTGCGACATTATGAAATTATTGATGATCTTGACAAGGCATGGTTGGTCTTAGCCATGTAAAGTTGGTGGATTAGAAGTTCACATTTCTCTCTGGTGATTAATGGTTATGTCTGGGAGAATTCATTTTTCTCTGCAAATGCTAAAAGAACTCTTCAGGTCTTTATTATTGAGAGATGTCACAAATGTGATGTTCTGATATCTTGGTGTGTTTCACTAAGTCTAACTGAAAGGAGAACACTTAGTATCCAGTAGAAGACAACGAGGTTGAAGACGTGTTGATCAATGAGCAAAGCAGAAGAAGACAATGTTTGACTGGATGTCAAGACATTATTCAGGACATGTTTCATGTATGATCAACAATTGTGTTTTTATGGACATGTTGATAAAACATGGGTTAGTAAGCGTGTTTGACTGAGAATGTGCATTTATTGGGACTTGTTTTACTCATAAGAAACAATCAAGAGCTGTTAAGACGTTGAACGCTGTTTTTGGACGGTGCACATTGATTTTGGTGGAAGTTTCTCCTTAAATAACGTTTCCTTTGGACCAATATTTTTGCTACATTCAAGGATCGTTATTTCGCAAGTAAATTTACAGCTACTTATAGAGGTTTGTGCTTTCCTCTTTCACCCCGCAAGGATTTGTTGTGTCCATAAATCTTATGGCTTTTGTTTGGGTTTGGGTGAGCTGTGCTTGGGTTGGGTTTTGTGAAGGCCTCCTTTGTTAATTTTTGGCGAAAAAGGGGGAGCAAGGGTGTACTCAGATGGTTAGTCTGGAATCTATAGCTCCAAATGTTGCTTTCAAATGTCGGACAAGATGTTCCATCCTGTGGTCATGGCCTGTTATGGCCAGTTATAGTTTTGTGACATGTGATCCGAGTTATGAACATAGTTGTGACATGTGTTCTGAGTTACCCAGGGTGGTGGTTGGATACTTCTTAAGTTTTCTCTTATGTCACAGATTGACTGGTGGTTGCTTCACGGTCCTCTTTTTCCACCAGTTGAATGGAATATCTATTCATCTGTGACAAGAATAGGTTCCTGGGTTGAGGGGGAGTGTACACCTATCATCTTCCTTGTCTGGATTGGTTGCATCAAATATCTTCAGGACTTTCCTTCCTTTTATCCTATGGTTGTTGTTCTTTGATGTTGGAGTTGGTATTGCAATGAAGCTCATTCAAAATGCTAAAAAGAAGATATATTCATACAAAGATGTCCCAACATCTTTACTGAAGACCGACTCCATGTTGCTGTGCTGCTGTGATTAGTAGTTTCTGAGGACTACTGTTGGTGGATGTTTTTGTTTTTTTCTGTAATTTGGTTGTAATTTTTATTTATTTGTTTTAGCCAAAATTTGCCAAAGGAGAAAATTGTAAGTTCTCTAGTTTTAAGGATTGACATTAATTTTTGTAAAACAAATAATACACCAATATGTTAGATATGATGTATTAAGTTGCTAACATGAACAGGTTGAGCAAGAAGTCCTATATTATGTTAGGACATGTTGAGTTGAAATGTTTCAACTTCTGGAACAACATGTCGGATGAGATGTCATATGAAGGAGCATATAACATCACGCCTGAGCTGAAGTGGACATATAGATTCTGTTATGATTTAACTGATGCAGAATATTTTGGGAAATATTATGAAATATTATAGGACACTGATTTAAAGGTCAATAAGAATCAATTAGAATGTTGAAGAATATACATTTTCAAAATTTGGAGATAATTTAGGAAGATTTGATTGAAGACCTTGTTTGTAGCAGAAGTTACTGCTGTTTGTAAAAACCAAAAAGCTGTTATTTGAAGGCCCAAATCCAGTTGGGCAGAAGTTATAAATAGAAGCTTTGTAACCTAGGATTTGTACCAACCGATAATTTAAAATATGTAATCATTAGGGCCGAGTCTGTTAGACACTCTCTAGAAGAGTTAGCATTTGTGAACCACTCGGGTTGTGAGATAGTGACTGTGTTCTCCTCGAAGTTGTGAAGCAAGAGTGAGTATTGTTTTTGGAGGAAGATTTTAAGCAATTCCAAGTTGTTGTCTTAGTCAAGAGTCTTGGCTAATGATTGTCATATAAGCGTGTCTTCCCGTTTGTTCATAATTGTTGTTGATCCAATTGCTGTTTGTGATTGAAGAGAGATTGAGGAGGGGCCCATATCTAGGTGAGTCTTAGATATAAATCTAGGAAGGATAGTGATTAAGTAATTAGGCCGTAAACTGGAGGTTTGTAGTAGAGTCTATGAATTGATACTATCATAGTGGTTTGTCCCTGGCTTGGTATGCCCTCAGAGTAGGAGAGTTGCTCCGAACTGGGTTAACAATCATGTGTGTTGTTTATGCTTTTCAGCCTTGTTTTTATTGTTAATGCATTACCTGTTTGTTTATGTCGAATCATATGTCCCAACATGTCATAGGACATCTGAGTTCTGTCATACCAGAATTTCACAAAGTCAAGATTTTGAAGACTCGGGAACTTCGTGGAAAATACGCACATAACTTTACATCGAAATTATTCCATTAGAAAACCGATAAAGGAAAGATAGATCTTCTAGAATTATCACTTCTCTACATCAGATAGTCCATCAGAAGACAAGATCAACATGATATCTTCTCAAGCCAATCTACTTCATCATAAGTCATATCCATCAGAAGACAAGATCAAAAGATGATATCTTCTCAAGCCAATCTACTTTATTAGAAGTCATATTCATCAGAAGACAATATCATCAGAAACACGCATAAGAATGGTTAGTACAAAGGTATAGTTACATATTCCACTCAAATGGATATACTGTGTACTATTTGTCTCCCATGATCAATTCCTACCGTTATGGCATCTGGCAAGATGAAATTGACGGGTGTACTACTACAATGGTCTACTTCCTCAACTCCTATATAAAGGATCAACTGTTTCATTTGAAAATAAGATACTTGCATACAAGAATAGTAACACTACTAAAAATAAAAGCAAAGAAAAAGCAAAGAAAAAGAAAAAGAAAAGTAAAGAAAAGAAAAGATCAAAGACACAAGAGTTGTTTCTTATTACTGTGCTAACATTATTATTTTCTAGAATGCAAGAGTTGTTGCTCATACTGTGTTGATATTACTATTAATTAGAACACAAGAGTTGTTGCTCATTATTGTGTTGCTTTTTTAAATTGTTTGAACATAAGATTTGTTTCTCATATTTGTGTTAAATAATTTGTACTTAAAATTATGTGTAATTGATTTGTAAGAAGCAAACTTGTATACACATTATTCAACGGGTAGTTGAGAAAGTCCTTTTCTAAGGCATAGAGAAATCTCCTTTAAGGGACCAGGTAGGTCAAAAGCCTTAAGGAGTCAGTGATCGTTATATCTCTCAGGGGAACGGGCAGGTCAAAATTCTTAAGGAATCACTAGCAAGTTATCACTATTGTTGTTAGTCACCAGTGGGTAGCCCATGCAGTTGTAATCAGTTTAGTTATAGTAGATTAAGTCCTTTTCTAAGGCGAAATCACCTTGACGGGTGGGCAAGATTAGCCTTTTCTAAGTTGAACCTGGATAAACTAGAAGTGTCTTTTATTTCTATTTCTGATTGTATTTTTTTACTTCTAGCATTGATTCTGAATCTGATCATTTGTGAAAAGAACTTCTAAATGAAAAAGTTTTTAAAACCCAATTCAAACCCCCTCTTTCTTGTGTTTTTCCTAACATTCACTCACCACCAAATTTGAGAATCTAAGGATGAAGAATGATGAGTGCATTCATGAATTTTAGATGAGTATTATTGATATTTCCAATCCAGCTAATGCTTTGGGAGAAAAGATGTCAGAAGAGAAGCTGGTTAGAAAAATTCTCTTGTTCTTTCCTAAGAAGTTTGACATGAAGGTCACAACTATTGAAGAAGCCCGAGATATTTGCCACATGAAAGTGGAATAACTGATTGGGTCACTCAAAACTTTTGAACTCGCCGTGAATGATAGATAAGAAAAGAAGAACAAAAGTGTAGATTTAATCTCCAACAATGATGATAAAGAATATCAATATGATATGGAGACTAGTGAGGGTATTTCTAATGCTAGTATGCTCCTTGGAAGGCAATTCAATAGGGTACTGAAGGTAATGTATATAAAGTCAAGACCAAATTTCAAGAACATGTCATTCGATATCAATAAGATCATTGGGTTTCAGAAGAAGACAAGAGCATAGGAAAATCCTAATCAAGGTAAAGGGATTCAATGTCATGAATGTGAAGGTTTTGGTCACATCGGGTCAAAATGTCCCACTTACTTCAAGAAACAACAAAAGGGGTTTTCTGTGTCTTAGTCTAATGATGGTGAATCTGAAGATGAACCTGATGTTGAGACTGGTAAGCATGTTATTGCTCTCACTGGCAGATGGGAATCTGATGAAGAATCTTGTGATGAGAATATCCTTTATGAAGAATTGGATGTTTCTTACAAGGAGCCATGTGTTAGATGTGAAGAAAGTTGTAAGATAGAAAA